CAAGAATAGGGAGAATTATAGTAGCCCTTGTAAGAGCCAAGAACAGAATCCTGAAGAGCCTCAAGAGAGAAAATTGCTTTCTAGAGACCACATAATATGGAGTAAGTGATATCACTGTAGGTTTGGACTGTCATCTGAAAGCACATTCCTACAGAATTAGGTTGCCATCAACAGCTGACTCATGCACAAAGGGCAAGCAGCCCACTTGAACCTCCTTCTAATAAAAGACTGAAGCACTGATGAACAGGCGGTCTGTTTAACCCTAGTGTTGGAACTAATTTAACCCCCATGTGGTCTGTGTTAGTCAAGAGTGACATCTGTAAGATGAAAGCAAAGTAAAGGCTATGCAGCTGGCAAAATCAAATACAGAGAAGTGATTGTTGCAAGGCACTAGAAAAAAATGTCATACTGTGATATTACCTGGATATTGGCTATGAATCGATTTGACGCTGATAAAATATAGCAGCACTGAGAATTTCAAGGGGAATCGATATTTGTGTTTTAACAGTTTATGTTAATTTTCTTTGGAGACTATAAAAATAAATTAATTTCAAATGCACTGATGAGAAGTAGTTTGCAAGAAATCCTCCCAGAATGTTAAATAATATATAGAAAGGACAATGATTGCTGTATCAAATAATACAAATAAAATGACATTTTACACATCTGACCACTTAGTGACCACTTCTTCACTAAGTTGCAGTAACACCAATCTAGTCAGATATAAAGATATCTGAACAGCATAATGAGCGAGGCCTCCTGTCAAACCCAGGAAATGAGTGATCTATTCTTTCAGAGCAGAGCACAAAAGACAATTTAGGATAATAAACATGCTAAAGTGCTGGGGACACTGGACAGCAAGCATTTCTATAAAAGCACAATCTGAATTTCCTTATTATGTTCTTAATCATTATTATTATTAACACTTTATTAATGTCCTATTAATCTGTTACTGGTTATGAGGCATTTATTCAGAAACTTGCAACTTGCAAGATACCCAACATATCCATCCTTGCAATGGAAATGGAAAGAAGAAGAAAGCTACCACTGTGTTTGATAGATAGGTGCTGCTATGCAGTGGAGAGACTGATAAATTTGAAGGGCTGATAAAGAGACACCAAGATTAACAGGCTGACAAAGCCCAACCGGCAGAGACAGATGAACAGGTGGATTAGATAGATTAAGTTGATTAGATATATAATACAGTAGTTGGAAAGTCACTTGACCTAGTCACAGATAAAAAAAGCCAAGGTAAGGCCGCAGAGCTGTTGTTCTGGCAAGGACTGCTGTGCTGCAAATGTCAGCTCCAGATACAGATTTGGCGCAATGACCCAATCTTGCGCAATAGCTTGACACAATAATTGCACAACTGTTGTTGTTAAATGTCTCTGTATACTCGTTTGAGAAATTAATTTGAGCCAAATAAACAGTACCACCTTGACATATACTGTAGCACTATGCTTTTTGGAAAAATGACACATAATTCTTTATTGCAAGGGAAAAAAAATGGCCACATGCATGCAACATAGAATGGCAGCAAAATCCAGAACAAGATCCTTATGAGTTTAAAATAATAGGAAGTCACTTCTCATAAAAAAAATGACTGGTACTAGATTCATCACCAAGGCTCATTTATTCTTCCAGCAATGCAAGGCTCAAAATGGTTCATCCATTTTCAAAATGTACCTGGCACAGATCATTCAATCCTACACACTCTGTCCAACTTGACATCATGAATTAAATTTGATTCAGCTATAACCTGGCTGCAATCAGGTGAACTCTCCCTTGACACCTGCCAATCAACATGACTGTTTTGTTTGTCTTTGCCAGCTGCAGCTTGGAGGGTGCTCTAAGGGCAGCTGTCAGTCAAACCCTCCAATAGGTCTTGACATTAACCACTCTGCCAGATAATTTTATGTAGCTGCAATACACTTCAGCATTCAGAAAAGAGACATTCCTATTTTCCTCCTCTTACATCTAGTAATATTACCTGGAACCGATGCTGAAAGCAGCCAATAATATCACTCAGTATGACAATGTTTAGTGAAGACCTTGTAATTTCAGAATTGGATTCCAATTAAGATGAAAAAAGGGATGCTCTGCTTCACATTCTATCAAACATGACAAGTAGCACCTTCATTCCTATTCTGGCAAACAACAAAAAAGTCCACAAAGAAAGTCTTAAAAGTAAGAATTGAAAAGAATTAAACATGGCACTTAATGAAAAATGACTGTCAAGAAATTGTCATCCCCGTGCTGCATAATAACAGCTTACAAATGTAGTAATTATTTTCTGACAAAGGACTCTGTTGTATGTTGAACAGCGAGTAGCTTCATTTTCCTAAGCTATTCTCATCAAAACGCACCGTGGATGCACTCATTCTGTACGCAAAGCTGTCAGCATTGGAGCCTTGTACTGTCTTGCTAGATCTGGGAAGATAAACAAGACCAGACCTTGAACTGATGTTATCCAAGGCAAGTCAGGTGAAGTGTTTTTCCCCAATGGCACCAAGGTCCATCAATGCCATAACTCTTTGAATGCAATGTCCTGTAGGATGTGCCAACCTGCCAAAAGCTCTCAGCACCCTGAATGCAAACTTAGTGGGACCTTTTAAAAATAAAAAGCCTTGACAAACTTCAGAAGGTCCAAATTCACACCCGGTCTCATCCTTGAATATCGATCGCATTTCCTTTTGCTTTTAAAGACACACATTAAAACACCTGACAGACTAATGTAAGAGAAATATGTACTGTAGGTATAAATGGCAGCAGTCCATCTCCCTTGTTTTTCAACATATTCAGACAAAAAACCAAGGGGAACACAATGTAGATGAAATAAAGGATCATAATCATAGAAGATTAAATCATTTATATGTACAAATTCTGATACAAAAAAATATTCAAAATGCTTGTAAAGGAATAAGATCTCAATTTATTTAAGAATTTATCATGCCTTGACTACTGGATTTTCAAACATCGATGATAAATTGTTTTTTGTCCTTAGTGCCACCTTATTGAAAGAATCGGCTCAGAGAAGCAGTAGCACTGTAATCAAAGCTGTTTCCATGTGCTAAACATTTTTCAGCATTTGCTTTTGCAAATTACATGCTATAGCAGCACATGAGAGAAAGAAACATCTCCCTTCCTCTGTTCTGTAATCCCACCATTTTAGGTCCCCTTAAATTCTCAATCCTGCAGCCTCCCTGCTCACAAAAATAATTTAAATAGGCTTAAGAGGAGATTATTGTCACTCATGCAGTTGAAAGGGGTTGAAACGGCCTTATCGATTTCCCAGACAAATGCCCTGTCATTTACAAGTTATAAACAGAGTTCTTTGTTTCATGTTGTTTCCAGTAATGGTGCTGTCCACAATGGCTTTAACATTTGTGAACAGATATACTTTCACTTTGTGTTCAATGTGTGCATTCATACAGGATGCTTTTACTTAAATGCTCTACAGCTGGTCAAATCAGTGAGGGACAGTTTCTTTAAACTGTAAAGTAACAATACCCATTTGTTACGGATTTAAGGCACAGTATAGATGTCCTCTTTAAAGAGGCAAATGTTCACTGTAAGAGGAAAAACTGCAAAGGGATCCACTACAAGAGAATAAACAAGAAAGCAACATTTTTATAATTGATTCGCAGTGATAGTTTACGCTTTAAAGAGTCATTTCTGTGTATGTGTGAATTTTCTCTGCTTTAGAAGAATTTCTTATGCATGTTCTATGTGCTGCATTTTTTAATTCTAGCACTATTTTGAAACAAAGTAACTGGTTCATTAATGCAACTAATAAACTAAAAAATGTCATTTATTTAGAAAAATCTCACATTCTATCTGAATCCATTTAATTGGCTAAAACAAATATATTTGTGCAGAATTAGGACATTTTCCTAAATCTATGAAAGTGAAAGTAAATCAATGTAACACCTACTGTAGCTCTGGGTGTAAAACCATGCTTCTCAGCTCATGCAAAGACAGTGATAGGCCTATATCATTCCAGTATTCCAAGGGCAAAGCACTTTCTGGTCATATAAACAGAGAAGAACAAAGGCTAAAGACTAGAATTACTGGTGTATCTTCCTTGTAACATTTACACCAAGCTGGTGTTAAAACGATGCACGAATCAGTGAACAGCTAACCTTTAAAAACATACGCTGGAAAACTGACTATCGAGGGAGCTTTTACAGATAATTAATTGATTTGTCACAATAGCATGGAAGACGCCTCAAAAGAGTTCCTAAACAGTTCAAAGCCAGGGGAAAACTAAAGAAAACTGACACACTCATGTTATAACGGTCCCTGGGGCTGGGAAGCAAGCAACTGAATAAACCACAAAGACAAGTGCGAAGACAAGGACATAAGATCTTCCCAGTTCCACTGACATTTCATAGAGTACAAAAATAATTACAGAACACTGAAGAAACACCATCCACAACAACAGAGTTCTAGTTACACTTCTATTCAAACAAAGCAGATTCACAATCTTCCCAGAGTGCTCCTCTTCTGACCCATGTAAAGATATACCGTAAATGTAAAAAAAATCCACTCCAACATACTGTACACGTTTCTGAAATGAGAGCAACAAATCTAGAATAATAAAATGTCTTGCTTCTCTGGGACACTAACATCAGACAGAACTTAAAATGTTCCGTTTGCATATATATACAGTATAATAATATGGAATATTTCAATGAAGCTTATACAGTGGAGTGGAACCGGTCGAATATAAAACCCACTTCTCTAAGCAGCCATGAGCATGGCCCAGAGGAGTGTCAAATCCAGCCTTCCAAAAGCAAGGCTTGGAAGAGGGCATTTATGAACACTTTTCAGAGGTTTAAGAAGTTTAAACACCACAAAACGCATCACAAATAGTATAAATCGGATGGCCGTCATAATAGAGGATATCAGATGTCAGCAGTAAAAGAGAACAGTCAAGCCATAGGCACGTTTCCACCTGCAGTCTTCGGAATCAAGTGTGCTATCTAGTTATGTCTTACCTGTTGGAGGACAAAGCCTCAATCTGAGAGTGCAGCACAGCTCCATCATTTGCTCGTAAAATGGCCTCCAGGTTCTCTTCCAGGACTTTCTTGTGCTGCTTAACTTGTCGCAATACCTTTTCAGCATCTTCAAACATGGATTTTGGAGCCTTGGTTTTTTGAAGGACCATGGGGTCAGATGACTGGGGTAGGGATGCTGACTTTAAGGGATGAAGCGAACCTTCCAGCTGAAATAAAGAAACTCAGTTGTCAAAAAGAAACATTTATAATGTCGGTGGCTTCTAAACTGTCAGCTGTAAAGTCTCTTCTTCCGAACATCAGTTTTCTAAAATGGTTAATCTCTACAAAAATGAATATTTTAAAATAGTTCTAAACTATGACCCTTAAGACATAAAAGGGTTTGGACTGGGCTGCAGTGTGTTAGGGTTCTCGATTTGCAACTAGAAGGTCATAGGTTCCAAGCTCAGGTGAGACACTGCTGTTGCATTCTTGAGCAATGTCCTTCACTCTGAATGCTCTAGTATATAACCAGCTGCAACTGCGGATGCATATGTAACCAGTATGTCTTTGGGCTTTGCGAGGATTCCCACAAGAATCCAGGGAGAACACACGAGCTGCGCGCACACAACACCCCAGGAACTGAGCCCAGGGCCCCAGCGCTGCAAGGCAGCAATGCTCACCACTGCGTCACTGCGCTGCCCATGCATTACAAGACTCCTGCTTTAAATAAGAGCTGACATCAGTAATAAATAGCTCATACAAATACAACTTAAACTTCCAGATATACACCTGCATTTATTAAATTCGTTTGTCTATTTCTGCAGAAGACCAGTTCACTTCAAACAGGAAAAAGAAAAGGTACTGACAGTTCCTTCTCCGTACAACTTTGATCTGCGTTACTAAATAATATGAATAACAAATTGGAATCCCACTCAGACTGTCACTATGGGCCAGTGCTATGCCTGAGCAGCATTCAGGCAATCCATCTTGTATCTATCGTCTCCAATTTGCTATTTTTAGAGTGATTAAAATGACATTACGACATCCTTAAAGAGTCTGCTAGGCTTGGTGCAATTTATCTCAATACAGCCCTTCCTCGCATTCTGTCGACCGTCTCATTATGAATCGCGAAGCAGGTTGAAGCCCGCCAGCCTTGCACCCTTGCGGGTCCTTGGATGGGTTTTTCTTTTTGCGCGGTAATCTTTCAGAGCGCAGAAGAAAACACATTAGCAGCAGACACTGCCTCAAAGAGTCACACCCCCATTTACATCTGCCATACAAAAACGTTCTATGCAGTGACTTGGCTATTGTGGAGCTATTTACAGCACCTTATTTTAAATAACCTTGTAAACAAATCAAAGAAAGAGGCCTTAATACTTGAGCATTATAAAAAGATAATTGATGTCACCCTTTCAATCATCTCTTGTGTTTTGCTTTATGAAGACTTTCCCATTAACTGTGCTCCGTGAAGACCTCTTGCTACCGAAGGTGATCGATGTGAGCAAGCTATTTCTGCAGAGAAAGGGAGTGCAGTTTCCTATCTGACACGAGAGTGCACATTAAAGCTTGTTGATTTCTAACTGATTTTTAAACAATTTGTGCTGGGACTCAATTATTAAGCAAATCTAGACTTTAGACAACACAGCAGAAAGCCAAATATACACATAGTACACGCAAATTGTATGTGTCCTAACACAGACAATATTCATTCAAGACAATATTTTGTCTAGAAAAACAAAACATCAAGAAAGAAATGCCTGTGTGCATGAGGTCCTCTATGCACTTGTTTCAAAACAAAGGCATGCTTTACTTTTAAATGTATTCTTCTTGCTTTGCAAACATTATTCACATTAATTAAAGTGCATTTATCCTAAAAAAGAAATGATATTGAAATCAGGCACTCTTGCCCTGAAGGGTACTGTGCCTTTCAGTCTTTCGGCCAGCGTGCACCCTGGAACATGAGCTCTCGATGCACGAGGAAGCACCAAGAGCTCCTCAGCGCCTGTCGGCACACGCAGCAGACACCGAGGAGAGGGCGGGCTGGCAGGATGCTGGTTGCCATGGGAACTCACCGGGGCGGGCGGGGGAGGCGGCGGCGGCGGTGGCGGATCGCTGGCGGCTGGGCCGCGGTTCGGCCTGGCCTGTCGGCTCCACTCCAGGGGAAACACTTCAGGAACCTGGATCAGTAAATTCAAGAGAAACCCTCAATGTGCATCTGCAAACTGTAAAATAAATGATCTTACTGAAAAAATATTTTATTTACTGATAATATACAATATTGACCACTTCCACGTATATTCTGTATCTGCATTTTGGTAGAAATATGCTCCTGCAGGGACAGCTCGACACAGATGAATCATTAAAGGACACACAAGCAAGATGTTTGAAAGCAAGATGCATGACAGCAAAAAGTACTTAAGTTCCTCACAACTTATATTCCTTAAAAATGAAATCATAACTCTGCATTATTGGTATTTGAACTCCAATGGAAAACCTGTCTTCTGTCCCAGTTATTAAACAGCAAGGACTGAAAACAAATGGGTCAGAATAAGAGATTTTCCTCATATGGGGAGGTTTGCTTACAGCAGCATCCTTTCGTGTTACAAGGGATAACTGGGGGGAAAAATGTCCTTACAGTAGGAAAAGTTCAATCACATAAAAATGTACGGTATGAGAAATATATGTCTTTAACACAGAGAAAAAGAAATATGTTTCTAATCTGCTAATTTCCTACAAAAATTACTTGAATATACTGAACACTAGCTAATGTACGTTCGATAAAACAGTGTTCCATGTATCTGAATGAATGTTACTGTTTTCTTTTAATTCATTCTTCTATACACATATACATGCATTTTTCTGATGCTTTAAAAAAAATCTTTTAGCAGAATCTTTCATCTAGAAGAGTCATTATGCATCATTATGAATCCATCAAATTGCCAACATACAGCTACATTTACTTAAAAACAATAGTGAACACCGATTTCTCAACTTTTCTTTTAAGGAATAATTCCCATTTTCCACAAAAGAAGAATACCACAAACAAAAACGATGTCAGCTTCACAGCAAAATCCATATAAGCCTGCTGCTTTAGACCACCTATAATAAGCTAATACAATCCATTAAGCCTCACTCGCACTGCAGGAACCCAATTTCAGAGTGTGAATTTTATTATTAGTGTTGGAGGCGGTCAAAACATTGCTGCTTTCAAAATAATTTTTACATCTGGGGTAGGCTACAAGCGAAATGTATCATTAGACATATAAATGACTGAGCTTAAGAGACCAACCTTGGACTGCTGTTCTAGGTTAGATCGCCACTCTTTCCCTTCCTGAAATAAATAACATTGGTTCAATATTTATAGAATATATAAGGCTGATAACATTATTAATGTTCTCAGATTATTTTAATAGCTCTCTTAATAACTGTGATATCTGCAAATATGAGACTATCAGAATAGTTTCCTTAGCTCTTAACCTGAGCTGTGTCTAGACCTACAATGCTCCTGTAGTTAGGTTACAGTCATGAATCTGGTAGAAATTATTTTTCGAAACTGTGTATGAAATAAAAAATAAAGGCTCGGTAATATGACATGCCAATGGGAGCTAATTACGTGTTAAAAATATTATTTTTACGCTGCTAACAAAGTATATGTTTATAGTACAGTATATTGTATATACTGTATACATTGTAGGTTCACAGTGCATTTCTTTCCCATACTGTACAGTATATGAGTAGACGTCTGCATATATTGGTGACATTTGGAAGACATATTAATGGTGCTGAACATCTACGGTATGACTGTGCAGATTTTATGTTTTCAGTTTTATTTATCTGCCGACAACGGCTTTTAGAAAATAGGAATCTTTCACAGGTGTGTACCCTACTTTATTTCAGGGTGTTTAATATCGACACAATTTATTTTCATTAAACACATACCCAAATTAGCTCTCTTAATCTGAATTTTAAGTGAAAAAATCAGGGGTGCAACACACCAATAGCTGATAACTTATGAAAACCTAATTATTTTAACAGTGTTTCATGCTGGTCTATCCAGTCCAACAGATACCACAGTCTTCCAGGACCAGGAGTGGACAGCCCTGACTGAATAATACTAAGCACAGCAACATTTCTTTTGTTAAGAGAGAAAGATTCTTTTTGAACACACTTGCTATTGTCTGATCAATTTATATGCATATCGATTCTATGTGTAACAAATAGAAGTTTTATTTATATACACATACATAGACTAAACTCCATTATCGTGTTTTTTTTTATTTTCTTTGTTCTCTGTTTTCTGTAAAATTACTCATACCGGGGGCATTAGCAGAAAAAAAGCGCAGCTAACCTACGTTTTCTCTGAAAGGTACATGTTCATTATGAAAATCCTAGATAGAAATGAAAGAAAAATAAAAAATAAATAGAGCATTATACTGAAGCACAGGCTACATTTAATAAACCTCATTGTCAGTACTAGCTAGGATAAGCTCAGATCTGCATCCAGAGTGCACACAGACAGGAACCATAACTATTCAAATTTCTGTATTAACAATTATATGCTAATGTGTCATTTGGCTTGTGTTTTATTATTCCAGAATGATGGAATTTTAAGCAGCGATGCCGTGCTCTGAAAACGAATGTGCCTTAGTGTTTCTCTGATTAAAATAGATGAAAACAAGCTGCATAACATTCAGCAAGCAAAAAAAGAGGCATTTTAATGTATGAGAAAAAAAACTGGGAACTGCTGTATGGTCATTGAAATACAATCCAGGATTGTGTTTTGGCTTGATTTCATCAGGGGTATGGTCCAATTAGATTCCCTTTTCCTTGAGCTGAATACTGATATTGACATTGGCCCACTAAGGAAAACAAGAGTCAAACTCATCAGCATCTGTGTGGGGTGTAATTTACAATGCCTGCAGTAATGGTGGAAAGGATCTCATTTTTGGAAGAGCCCCAATCAACTCAGCATCTCTGAGTCTACATTGCATGAACTAATCCCAGAAACACAATAGATGTTATTAGAGCAGGTAAATGCACGAGAAAGCCGTGGAGGCAGCTAATGAAGTAAAAGACATACAGTATGTATGATGGAGAATGAGCTTGAGATTTGTTTTTTTGCACAAATGGACCAAGGGTGCCGCACAAAAAACAGCAACATTTTCTCTGGGAAAAGTCAGTTGGGAATGTAAAACTTCATGGAAGTGTATCAGGCAACCGTTTCAAATGTACACATTGTGGTTCTCAGAATCATGCCAAAGGCATCCACAACCATTGTGCAGAGACATGTTTCTCATGGTCACTTTTTTGTTTCAGCAGGTGCTTGATCGACAATCTGGTCCTTCAATATCACGCTTACAGTGATTTTAAACACATTTTACTCTAGATTCAAATTACCATGAGACTGCGGCTCATGAGAAATAAATTAAGGTAACAGACAGCAGAAGGCAGAAGGTGATTGATCTTAACTGATTGTGAACTTGCACAGGTACATACTGTACAGGGATCGAGGTTATTGTTATTGATACCATGACTGCAATAACATGGCCACTAAAAATTGGAAGAAGAGGGTTGCAGAACTCCAGCACCGGCTTCTCCGTTCCGTCCAGCACTCACCTGCAGCAGGCTCTGCATCTCCGTCTTGAGCTGGCCAAGGTCACGCAGCACATCGCTGGCTTTCTTTACAGCAGCGCTGGCTGCCTCTTCGGCCTTTCTCGAACAGCTGGAGGGGGAGGTGAGAGCGGGAAAGGGTTCAGTCAGCAGGCTGCCAGGGCTGGAATGACATTCAGCATCTAAAAGATGACAGCACCTGAATACTGATGCCGTGCTGCAGTCATTCATTCAGCAGTGCGCCCCAGCCGTGCCTTTTAAAGCTCTTTGTTACATTCCACCTCATGCAACACACCTAGCTAACTATCAGCAGCAAACTGTTGATGTCACCTTCGCTTTAATGCATATCCTTCTTGGAACAAAGCACTTCAACAGTTCCATTAGCTAAATAGCTCTATTTAATATCTAAACATGAATACAGTATTCACTTTTCATTTCATTCTCTGTCCTGGCATTTTTCATTGAAATACTGCAAAGATTAATTCTGAACCTGAAAATCAACAAATACGAAACATTTATATACATATTTTACATGTACCACAAGCATTAATATACAAATCACTTATCAAGAAAATATTTAAATCTTAATTGAACAATGAAAAGAGATAAACTGTCCACTCTTTCCTATTGTACCATTCTTTTTGCTTGTTTTTTTAACCCTTTTATATAATTTCAGACTGTATTTTGTCAATTATTAATTTGAGAGCATTGCTATGCACTCATGAAATGATAAACTTGCACAATTGCCCACTGATTTGGTGAAATGCAGACCAGCATGAGATGCATCCCTCAAAGATAACACAGACTCAAAATCACCCTGTATTAATTTATATTTCCTTGAATTCTTACATTAATGTCCCCTTGAACACCTGATCATCAGACAGTACAGCTGTGTGCACGTGCTATATCTGAATTTCTTTTTTCCCTCTTCTCAGCTCCGAGCTACTTTGACAGGCAAAAATGTTGTTTTTTTTCTAAATTGTTGGTGGGAAATCTCATTTGAAATGCGCATTGAAAATGTAGCCAAGAGAAAAGTATGTTAGTGTGGGAGGATTTCTAGTTATTGAGATGGTTCTCTTCAGGCGCTGAGAGTCACACGCTGTGACACTTTCCACAGTTCCATCCTGCTAAGGAGATGAATACCTGGCTGGTATTGTAGTATTGCAGCAGGCAGCCTAAGGGTCATATAAAGGGCACGGCACACTGTGCCATGGATTGGCCCCAACATTGGCACTTATTTGACAATTTGTTTATCCATCATTTTCATTTTATTAGATTATGCAAAAACTCGAATTATAAGTAAAAGAAATACAACAAATGATTGACAGCTATGTGGCAGGCTACACGAAAGCATAAAAAACGTAGTCAACCTCAGATTTGATACAAATTATACAAATAATTCAGGTGACAGAACAGTGGAAGCCACAGATATGCCCAGTTTCACACGTATACCTGAACACAACAGTTCATGCTTTCGTTTGTCTCTAATGCCTAAAGCCATTGAGAGAGAAAGACTGCTACCCCTCAGGCTGGGGAGGCCACAGCAGAGGTAGAACTTAGTGTCAGAGTCTAAGGGAACTGCAACATTCACCCCAGCAGAAACACCCAACCACACTGTTCGCACAATATGAATAACTTCATTCATTGGTTTTCTTCAATACAGTAGTTCTTCAGCTATAACACCGATATCAGAATCATGCAAAATGAGAACAAAAACACAACCAGAAGAATCAAGATTTTCGACAACAACAATAATAAATAATAATAAAATAATAATGGGCACCCCCCTCCATCCTCCATCTCCACAAGTGTGCAGTCTCACCTAGATGATGCGACGACATCCATAGTGCACCAGTACACTCACCACACACCAGCTCTCAGTGGCGAGGAGAACAGAGTGATGAAGGTAATCCATAGATGAGGATTATTAGGAGGCCATGACGTGAAAGGCCAATGGGAAATTTGGCCAGGACACTGGGGTAACACCCCCACTCTTTTCAAGACATGCATTTTTAATGACCACAGAGAGTCAGGACCTCGGTTTTATGTCTCATCCAAAGGACGGCGCCTGTTTACAGTATAGTGTCCCCGTCACTATACTGGGGCATTAGGACCCACACAGACCGCAGGGTGAGCGCCCCCTGCTGGCCCCACTAACACCTCTTCCAGCAGCAAACTTAGTTTTTCCCAGGAGGTCTCCCATCCAGGTACTGACCAGGCTCACACCTGCTGGGCTTCACTGGGTTGCCAGTTGTGAGTTGCTGGGTGATCAAGCTGCTGGCTATAAAAATGAAAACTTGACAATTTTTACATTGGGCACAACCTCCCTGAGTATTAAGATGGTTCTGGCAGTGCTGATGTGTAGACCTGACCAGCCTCTGGACAGAATGCTGTGGGATGTTCTGCCAGTGCCTGGTAGCTGCGGCCAGCTGGTGAAGGTCAGCCATTGGCATTGGCACGTTGGTCCCACAGATGGTCTACTGGCTTCAGATCAAGAGAAAAAGCAGGCCTTGGTAAGTGCTCAACACTTGTTTCCTGAAGTTGAGCCAGTGCGACCTTTTCACAGGACGTCACTGATTTTCCTGCTGGAAAATCTGGCCCAGTTGGCTTGCAGCAACAGAAAAGCTGTTGGCTCAAATGCTTTGGAAGTGTACTGCTGAGCAGTATGTTTGCACCAAAGACATTCTTAGATTAGAGGAGTCTCCTCCCCACATCACCACACTTCCGTTATTCAACACACATCCACCATCAGGTCAGGATTCTGGATGCATCACTAGAGGCTGTGGATCCTAATTTTACACAAGATGCTGCTGTTGTACCCTTGAGCGAGGTACTTCACCCAAAATGTTCCAGTAAAACACCCGGCAGCAGAAATGGGCACAAATGGAAGATGCTTTAGATAGAAGCATCAGCCAAATTAGTTAACAATAAGGTCTGCCAAAGGCAAGGGGGCATTCTGCAGTGAGTAAAACACTGTACCAATCGCTCTGCCACAACTTTAGGCACTCACTGGCCCACAGAAATGGACAATTTTGTTTCTCAGCTACCAACATTTCCCCCCTATCAATTTCACGTCTATGGTGAGCTTGGTCATACAGCTAACATGCAGACTGGAATTACTCATAGTGTTGCCAGCACGCTGCCCGTCAGTCTTCAGGAAGGACCTGTCCTCTACACAGTTCCCTGGTTTCTCTGAACTATTTCATTCTCCAGACAGCTTCTCTCACAGGCAGACTGACTTCAATCATGCCAATAGCAATCAGGCCATCTTCACTACTCAAGCATGGGCTTTGAGATAATTAAAATCATTTCTATTTGAACTGATACTTATTCAGATTCTTAATCAAGTCATTTCAGCAGCTTTAACTCGACTAAAATATCAAACATTGCACATCTAGAGTTTTTATGAAATCACATGAAGTGAGCTCAGCATTTTATTCTAAAGAAAATTACTACTCAAACAATTAACAAACCTATCTTTTTGCTCTTTAACATGTAAATAATGTGAGTGCACCCTCAGAGCAATTAATATTAAATGCAAGACTGCTGTGTTTTCTTTGCATTAAGATATTTTACAGACTGAACAAATCAGGAAATAGAAGCCTTTTCTTATAATTGTTTGAGAGAATGGCACAAATATATGAAGAACAACGGGTAAATCAGCCCTCACAGCAAACACCCAGAACACACAATGATGGAAGAGCCCTGGGGAAATACACTCAAACAGTTTATTACAAAAGGTCTTATGTTAACGTTTGATAGGGAGAATTTCCTTAAAATAATCTGTACTTAAACTAATGAGTTAGAGAATATCTGTAAAATATGAAAAAGGTGCCTAAAAGTCTTACAAAAACAGATATCAGAGGAATAATTCCATACTTTGGACGCTTTAGACCTTTATCGGTGTGGGATTACTGAAGCTGTGTTGCTCTTATTTACTAGCTCCAGATCTGGCCTTTTTGAAATGTAATATTGTGCTATTGATCACATGGAGACTTTCCGTTTTGCTAGATAAAAGTAATTTTAGAAATTAATTAACAGCTCTACTTTGGAGAAGCTAGAAGCTGTTTTTTTTATTCCCGACAGAAAATTCATGACAGGAATCTATCTGAATTAAATTGCTAAAACTGTCATTCAAAGATTAAAGTGCTAATTGCGTCAGAAACATGACATGTTTTTACAAAAGTAGCTTTCTTTTAAGCCAATTTCTGGGCAATTGTGTGCTTTAACACTTCTGTATTATACATACTGCTTACATAACATCTGTTTCTATCTAGCTCCTAAGTGCTGCTCACATATTGGGAAGCAAAACTAGACTGGTATGTGAGGGGGGGGTGAAAGAAACATTTTTGACAGTTTAGTTGAAAAAAGTTTTTTTTCTCCACAGCCTCTGTCAGCCTGGCTTCAGAGAAGGAGAGGGGGAGAGTGACCTGGATTTTTCACACTGAGCTGTGCCCAGAATGCAAAGGTCAGGCTTCAAAAGCACAATGAATCCTCTGGTGCTGAATTGAAATGGAGCCGTAGCAGACAAAGTCTGGTGAGCATGCCAGTCACCTCCCAGAGCTGCTACAGCACAAGCCACGCTGATTGGAATATTTTAAACGCAAGTATGCCAAGAACTTAACCCCTCAGCCACCAGCCTGCCTTCTGTGTTCATTCCTGCTCGGCCCAAAGTTAATATCCACTGCAGCAAGAGTTATGGTTAAGCCAGTAATGGAATGGAATCACATAAATTGCACAGGCGTCAGAAGCTGGCAATGGTACAAAATTGCAAATCACTGTCTAAGAGGTACCAGCCTTTTAGAGTGCTTGAAATATTTATAGCATATTCTATGTACTGAGAGGAAAGAAAGCTGAAATCAGCACTTTGGCAGACTTATTATATTACTAGGAAACGTAATTATTTTCTTCCTGTCCAATGTCTTAAACGCACAATATGATACGATAGGTGAAAGGTGATATGAATGAGTTCCTAGAAGAAACAGTCCATTGGTCCAATCTCTGGGAAACAAAAAGGTGCTTCTGGAGCATGGAGTACGTTCTGTGCAAAGGAAAGCACTCTTATCAGGAAAGACTAATTTTAAATGTGCTTTAAGGTTTTTCTTTTATTGT